TAGAAAGCAACAAGGGAAACTAGTAAAAAGCACGATTTGCAAAGAGGGGAAAGTATTTGCGGGACACTTACAATCTCACTCATGCATTTTACACGGCAATAGCACTTGAAGTGGGAGGAGCCGGCGGAATCGCAACATTTCATCGAAATGTTGCGATTCCGCCGCGTAATAGCGAGGCAGAACTTAGAATATTGCCCGACCTGCAGCCGCGAGCGGCGGCCGTGAGAAACACGCTGCGTGACGTCAAAGGGGAATCTTGTAGAAAGATAGCAAGTTGTGCGAATACCTGCTCGATAAAAGGTAACGTTTCTATAAATCTTGTCGTTCCAACATATATATAAATGCGTCAAAAACCTGGTATCATCGACAAAACTTTTATTATACGGAGCTTTAGTGGCGCCATCTATCCTAGGTCCACAAAACAGTCAGCTCTCTCTGTTACCGCAAACAGCCGCCAGAAGCCAAAGGGGGAGGGGGACAGGGCCGGACGGGTATGGCCGGACCCGGATGAGACTTTCCTCCTTTCACCATATTGTTCGCGCGGCGCCCGCCAGCACGTGGTCACGCGGTCGCGAGCAGATGAGTTCTCGCTGCTCACTGATGTCTCTAAAGAGAGAGCTTTTCCGGAACCCCGCGCCTACCCCATCAACGTCACTGCGCACGTGACCCGGAAGACGACGTACGAGTTGAGAGGCGGCAAAAACCTGGATCATTTTCATTTTTTTTTAAATAAAAACTAGGCTATCCAGACTGCTTTCTGTAGTTCACTTTAGAAGTGTCAGGCATCAACTTACACAATAATTTAAGCAAAGCCCTGAAATTGTTGCACAGCTCCTTTAACGGTAGAGTTAATTCCCTAAGAAGAAGACGGCTTGCTTTCCGCATATCCACGAATTTTACTCGAGCCTGGAGACCTGCGCTCGCCTCTGACGTCCTACCGTTGCGGTAACACTGCCGTGAGCGCGGTGCACCTCCGACGCTTAACCTCACGCGAATCAGTTTTTGACGTGAAACGTTCTTTGGCTTTTGTTCCGGATTTTGTGAAGCCGCATTTCTTGAAGTGACATTTCACGAAGCCGTGGCCTGTAACGTGCCATAATGCAAAGCGCGCAGTGTTGCATTATGGGACGCCACAGATCCACACGCCAATTCCGCTAAATTTAGCGGGGAAGTTGAATTGGCGTATAGGTCACGTGACGTCAATGTTACCTCTAATTTTAGCGACAAAAATAACGTCACGTGACGAAGACAAATTCAGTTTCCCCGCTAAATTTAGCAGAAACATTGATATCATGTGACCTGATGTCACGTGATGCTAGAACGTGTCACGTATGCAACACAAGGGACCAGCGATTTGTCATGCATTTTTTATAGGTCGTTTCGGTCAACAGCGAGGGTTAATTTACCCCTGCACTGCTGCACTTCATCGTATCATCCTCTCATTGATAACATGACAGTCATTGGGAAAGAAAGGAGGCGCTACAGTCTTCGTTGTTTTGGGCGTTGTTTCATATACTGGGCCTCAGCGCTTGCGAGTCGGGATGCAAAGATGGCGGACGGGGAAGGCCATGGTTTCGGTGGCCGGCGTTATCACCGGCGCCCACATCGGTGAATTCCGTTAGCTGATGAGCGTCCTTAGGGCGGATCTTTTCGCTAAAAGGGTCATCAGACAATATCGGTTTGGAATGTTCATCACATTACAGAGCTGTGCTGGTCCTAGTCTGGCCCAAGTATAGTATTCGCACGGACCGCCACTGATTCAGAAGCTTCTTGGTCGCGGTGAAATTGCGAGGATAAAAGGGAATTCTTTTTTCCAGTCTTGCCTTCGGAAACTTTTGATGGCGTAATTGTGGAATTGAAACCACCTGCCTGACGACATTCGAGCGCGGTTCAGGGATTGGACACGAGAACTGCGTGAGCACTCGGTGGACACTTGGGTTCTGGCTTGTATCCAACCGCTGCGGTGATGACAACAGCCGAACTCTAACAATACCTGGAGCTCGGCGCGCGTTTTCTACTTTGCCAACCCGAGCGCGTGGCTATGGTTAACGTTGGTGGCCCAGGCCTCTTGGCCGCTTGTTCTTGCTCCGAGATGAGGGGATGAACGATGCTCAAATTTCTCGATTTTTTTCAGCGACTGCCCTTGTCCAGAAAGAAAAAGTAAGGCAAGTTTATTCGGTTGTTAACGTTACGAAGTGATTTTAAGTAGTACTTAGCGAAAGTAAAAAAAAATCATTTTATGGCCTCTTTAACAATGACCTCTCGACGTTTGTGAAGATGGACACACGTGTGTGCACGTGCCGGGATATACATTCAGTCGAAACATTTATGTCGCCTTCCAACTGTTATGCTTGTGCGTCAACATGAGGTCGACGTGCGGTGCGCTTGGTGTCTTTGTGTCAGTAATGTTTTGTATGGATGTACACGATGATTTCATTCGCAGCTTTTATAGGTGATATATACGTACCGTAATATTAGCTCGATTTCTGTAGATGAAAGTAATTCTTGACAAGAAGCTCTCTCATCCGCCTGCATCCACACACACATTTAATTTCTGAAATTGCGTTGTTACCCACACTTGCTTTAAAGCTGGTGACATTATAAATCACTACGTTTTGTACCAAGAGAGATGTCTTGAGTCTTCGTCAAATTGATTTCTGCAAGACACAGACAAGTTGATGTGATTGGACCTGTATATAAACAAACAAAGGTAATAAATTTGCCACACCAATGTATCCACAACAAAGTTTTAATGACTACATTACTGGCTAATCAGGAACCTTCATGCATGGTACGAACGACAACCCTGTTTTATCCTGTTAATGTTGCGGTGTAAGCTCAAAAGCTTTTATTGGAAGAAAAATCTTCGATCCTTGAGTTGGAAGACATAGGACAAGATTTTAAATAATTCTAGCTGCGAAACGAGGCGAACTCCGCTTTAGAATAAATAAAGTTTTTGTATAAATATTGTGCACAAACAACAAACCTAGGCCAAAAGGAACATCGGACCACTAGTTTTTGCTTTTAAATACACTGCTGCGTTATTTTAAGGTAGGAATGCAGTTAATACATGCGTTTACTAAATCAACCGTCTTGGTACCGTGATCTTTAACGCCGTTTTCAGTCATTCTTTATGATGTATTTTTTGGCAAGTATCCTTCATAAATAATCCATCGTGCGGGAGTATTTACATCGTTCAAAATTTCGTGCTAAAATGCAAACCCCCTCTATCTCAAGATCTAGTTATACACCTACCCTGTTCTTGCATTCTGCATCAGTGATTTTATGCCACGATAATTTGCCAGTCTAAGAAAATCTTCCTATCTGAAATGTTGCGCACAGTTGGCATTTAGGGAAATAAACACGATTGCATTGACACTTATCCCTAAGACGGCTTGAAGGCGAAAGCCCAAGCACCGATGCATTAAAGACAGGCACATAATTTACTCGCTGAGTCATCCCTCTTAATGTGCTTAATCATCCTTCTTAATGTACTGAATCATCCTTCTCAATGTGCTGAGTCATCCTTCTCAATGTGCTGAGTCATCATCTTAATTCGTGTAGTCATCTACTGAGTGGTCACGTAAACGTTTTGGTACTTTTCGCGTCGCCGACATGTTTTCGCTCAAGGACTTTGAAGGTCGACTGAACGATGAGACATATAAGGCTTTCGCCTTAATAATAGCTCGTTGCTATGAAGGTAAACCCACGCAGAGAGCCTTCTTTACCACGCTAAAGCGCTGCCCCAATCGCCTTCTTTTTTCGGCCATGCGGGAAGAGCGCTGAGGCCTTCCAAGTCTAGGGGGTGTTGCAACATGGCGATCATTGGTAAAGGAAAAGATTATACAGTCTTCGTTTTTTTGCGCGCTGGCTCATATATCGCTGGTTTCTGCGCACACGGAGGGACCTCACCCGGTGTGGGAATACCGGGCTCGTCCGTAAGTGTTGGTTTATATTAATATTTAAAAATTTTTTTTTAATATTAATATAACCGAAAACCGACGCACACTGGACGCTACCTCCAGTTTCAATCCAACCACCCAGCCAATCATAAAGCGTCGGTGGTCAGGACGCTCTTAACCAGGGCAAAGACCATCTGCTCATCAGAAGAGCACAAAAGAAAGGAGGAACAAACCGTCATTGCTGACCTTAAGAAAAACGGCTACACGAGCAGCTTCATCCATCGCGTTGCGCGCCGTGTAGGCCGAAACCAACGACACGTGCAGCAACAGTTAAGTGCAAATTTCCGCCCAACCTCCCGCATCAGCGTTCCCTACATCAACGGAACAAGCGAGGCACTGGCACGTGTGCTTGCGAAAGAGGGTATCCAACTAGCGCACAAACCTGTGTCTACCCTTGGACGACTCATGCCACGCCCAAAAGATCACCCTGGCAAAGAAAGGGCCCAAGGCGTTGTATATAAGATTCCGTGCGGGGTTTGCGCGGCCTCATACATCGGCGAGACGAAGAACTTCCGAGAGAGAATCCGTCAACATAAAAACGACGTGCGCAAGTTCGATCACGAGCGTAGCGCGGTCGCTGAGCACTGCGACGTCAAGGACCATCGCATCGACTTCGACAACGCATGCATCGTTGACGTTGAGACAAATGCGCGAAAAAGACTGTTCCTAGAATCATGGCATATTCAAACAACGCCACAGAACATCAACAGATCTCTAGGGGCTTTACCATCCGCCTATGTGAACGGGCTTCGTCACATTATTGAAAAAGGCAGAGCCGTAGAAGAAGAAGACCAGACACACGCCGTAGAAGAAAAAGAAAAGGACACTGCTCCTCAACGGCCATAGCCGTAGTCGCCCCTGAAGAAGAGGCCGAATTGGCCTTGAAACGTTGGGTCCCTACAGAAGGGCTTGGTTGGTGTTCAAATTTTTTAATATTAATTACTCCCAACCAGACAGATTTCTGTCAAATGTTTACTTTTAAATTTTTAAGTGTTGGTTTATACTCGGTTTTTTTTTTTTCGGCGTCTTTAGTGAGAAGCGGCCAGTGCGTGTGGTCCTCGTGACCGGTTCCAGCGGCTTCCTGGGACAGCACATCGTCCGTCTCCTCCAGGAAGGAAAAGAACTGCCGACAGTCCGGGAGATACGGCTCCTCGACACCAGGCCCTACCGGAACAGTCTCGGTGAGCGTACTCCGCCGACATCGCGTTTCTTTTTTAGCAAGAAAGGAAATCCCGATGGGGACCTGGTCTTCCAAGGGGGGTAGCAGAGAAACTGAGGAAGAAGGGAAAAGCATCGCCTGCACCACTTTTTTTTTTTTTTTTTTTTTTTTGTGGCGGCCGTTATGCTGAATTATAGCGCATATGAGTTTGGGCGAAATAGCAATTCACTCTATTTGTGAAAAGACGGTGAGAGTGCAGGCGAGCTGGTGGTAGCTAATCATGTCGTATTACACCTGAGACTGCGGTGGAAGAAATCGGAAGAACTTTCAGTAGAAGGAACAGACACAGAGAACGTCTCAAACTCAGCTCCAACTGAGCTGAGTTTGAGACGTTCTCTGTGTCTGTCCTTTTGGGTCAGTTGTTTATTGCTCCATTTGTTCCTTCCTCGAAGATAGTGAGACCTTACTTTTTTTTCTGGCGATGAGCGAAAGAAGAACGAAGCTCGGCGGTAATAAACGTCGGAAAAGTCCAAAGTAAAAAAAAAAAAATGAAAATGGTTTGATTACTTTCAGTTGCAAGGATAATGCCGAGCGTCTTCTGGCTCTTTCGTCACACTTTTGTTTTAATGGATTCGTCTAAGCGCGACCCCGTCCAATTTTGCCCCCTTTCCACAAACTGCCCAGCCTGCAAGTTTCTGTATGACTAATGGGACATGACTGCCATACAAGAAATGAACGGGTCTCAGACAATGTCTGCGAGACGGTCTTTTGAATGATTTATTTGCAGTTTAGTGCGGCTTCAAAGCGATTAAACTGTTCTTTCACTCCAGGACACGGGACCAGCGTGCCTATGAAGGAGACCGTAGCGAGCGTTTGCAATGCTCAGGCGGTGAAAGCAGCCTTCGAAGGAGTGGACTGCGTAATCCACTGCGCCTCGCTCATCGACGTCGGCTTCTTTCCGGACGCCAAGCTCATGGAGGAGGTTAACGTGCAAGGTACCGAACTGCCTCGTCTTTGCAGTCGATGTTTGGGGGCATGTTAACTCTTGCTAACCTCTAATACTAGGAATGTACGCGCAGGCTTTAACTCTTCCCGCTTAATGCAACCTACAGCAACCAAAACTCTGGGGGGTTGCGATGATAACCTCTGAGCAATATTTTCGGAGGTTTTAATCTTGGAGTTATGTAAAAACGCAAGTCTTGTCTGGTGCCAGCTTTATCTGTAATTAGCGGTGATTGTCCAAGATTTCCTTTGGAAAGTAGATGAAGGGCATTCTTCCAAGTCAGTTTTGTCTTGTGTTGTTACTTGCTACTTGAAAAGGCTTTCATACATTAATTCGTCCTTCTAAATTATTCTTACCTTGAATACATTCTTTTTTCATGTGGTATATCCGCCTATGAAGTTATGACGACCGAAAATCTTACCTTTAGAGCCGTAACATCCTTTCTAAGCACTAGATGCTTATTACAGCGCAGTCCACTTATAACGATACCACAAATAACGATTTCCTGTTTATAAAGATCAGTTTCGAGACTGTCTAGACTACAAACGCCCAGTTTCTTGTCCGAATACAACAGTCATCGGTTATAACGATTTTTCGGGTTATCTCAATATTGGTATCAGAGTTGGCAGTAATAAATTTACTGTAATTGAATTACAGTAATTCAATTGTAAAATGAAAATGTAAAAACGTCAAATGAAGCGCAATCACTACATCGGCGTGCCCTCTCTCGGGGTACCGCGTCACTCTACATTCCTGCCAAGCCAAATGTGGCACGGATTCGTTGCCACGCCGAGTTCTTCTTCAGACCCTCGTTCAAATCGGGGTGCTGCTTTTATAAAAAAAAAAATAGGTATTCCTTAATATTGCTGACCAAAGCCGCTGAAAAGACCTCTGTGGCTGTGTACCCATGGCCACTACCGCTACCCAAGGAGTTGGACGGACGTGTTGGTTGCTTGCCACTTGATTCTCTTACAGAAGTTCGGAGTGCCGTATGGAAACAAACACGAGGCGCACCACACGTCACTTTTGACGCGCAGCTGATTGGTTCAACCGCCGGGCGACTCGGTGACTGGTCGCAAAAATCAATCACGTTTGCGACTTGCGACCGCCGATTTTCAGACAATAGTTGTCGCACGACAGATGTGACTTGTAAGTGTGAACGCGCCTTCAGAGTGCACTGGAGTCATTGGATCCTGAGGGAGTAGCGCCATTGCCTTCTCTACTTGCTAGCCGAACACAAACACATACTACCATACAGATGACCAAACCTCGCAAGGTGATTGGCTGATCGGTCTCAGTTGCCATGGCAATTGCCTTTTCAGTCCATTCAAATCTTCGAAGCTTCGAAAGGGTCGTCTTGAATCAGTCGTACCAAAATCCCTATGGAGCATCATCATGCGGAAAGCGGTCCTCGCCAATATAATCGTTTACTTGGCGCTGTGCGTTCAGTTCAATTATCTATCATGCCTATCTCCACAGATGTCTTACTATGGTATTGTTGTTCTTGTGTATTTTTAATAAAGAAAAATTATTTTTCTATGCCGCCAAGCACCGGCGACGCAAATGGAATTTTTGCGCTTGTTTCGCCGGAGTGCGGATAACGAAATGTCGGTATTCAAGGAACGTCTCTATAAAGCTACCCATCACCGGAGAATTCAGGTCGGCTCACAAAAGGTGGAGACGTCAAGAAGAAACTGTTCATTTTATTAATTAATATGGCGACCATACGGAGAGCTTGGTGCTACTTTCAGCAGAATCCAGTAACATTAGGGTGCACAAGGGTATCCAAGCAATACAATATCATTTTAAGTTAAACTTTCTGTTTTTCCTTTTTGTTTATCCCTTTTTCTCTTCTTCCGGAGAAAAGATAGAAAGGCAAGTCACTGCTCTTGCTATAATTATATGAACCAATTGAGTGGTGATCGGCAGCTGGTCGCAATAGCCGCGCGGCCTCAGTGGCAAAAGGTATGGATGTCTTTCTTCCACAAAAACTGCGCCATTAAGTCACGATACCGCTCTCACCGTTTTCATTGACTTATGATCGGCTTTTCAACCGTATCGCTGTGCACTATGCGAGGCTTTTTAGAGTGTACTACTCAATTCATTTGCACAGAGATGGCACCTATATTATGAACTGCTGGGATCTGAAATACAGGCACGCAAAACGTGATCGAGGCCTGCGTGGACAAGAACGTTCCTCTTCTGGTGTTCACGGGCACTGTTAGCACCGACCACAACCCGTCCAGCAAGCGAGAGTGCTCGGAGATGCACTGCTACCGGGGGCCCTACGGCGAGACAAAGCAGAATGCGGCCAAGTTGGTGATTGCCGCCAGCGGACGGCTCCTGGCCGACGGTGAGTGGCGACTCTTGAAGCGGCGTAAATAATCGCTCGCGCGTGCTTGTTTCACTGCTGTGATTGGTTTCCTGTAGAACAGGCAGAGAGCAAGTAACCGAAGTGTACCGAAATGAAAACTTAGCGGACGATGAGGAGCAGGTTACGTTCTGAATCATACGTGCATCAGGTCTGTACTGGAAAGCTTCAAGACCCGCTTTACCAAAGCACGTCGTCCTTACCAAAACGCAATTGCCAGAGGGTTTTCCTTGGTTTGAGTGACTGGCTCTCGTCATGCTTCGTAGGGAAGTGTTGGATGCACGAGCATTTCTTAGCGTGATGTAGACCATACGCGGGCGGAAACTGAGGAAAAGAAGGAGGCGAGAGCGTGCGGGCACGTCAGAACATCGAGTTCTGGTGGGAATGATTAGTGGGTAGACCTAAAGCTAGCTGCCATTGTCTTCATTACACTCGTTGAACGCGTTAGAACGCAAAACGCCGGCATCCGACGTTTGGCTTTCACATCGGAACGCGTTCAATGAGTGCAGTGGAGACGAAGGTAGCTAGCTTTACGTCTACCCACTAATCCTTCCAATCAGAGCACGGCGTTCTAACGTCCCTGCACGCTCTCGTCTTCTGCTTTCCTTATGTTCGCATAATCATTGTTCACTTTGCTTTCCTTATCAGGTAATGTTGGGTTTTCGTTCTACACAGTGTCAAGAAAGATTTATTCTGTTTTTAAATTTTCGACTGTTTTGTTGACGCTTTAATAAAGTGATGTCCTGCTTTCCAAAGCGTGCTAGTGAATGCAAGAAGTTAACATGTTTGATTTCTCAGAAACGGGATGCGCAGGAGTTTTGAAACGCTAGTGGGAGTCGAATGTATTATTGCGCGAAGTAGAGCGGCTTCTATTATTTTGGTCTAGCAAGTTCATTTGTAAGCTGCTGTCAGTTCTTTGTTGCCACACACACCACATACAAAAAGGTCGGGCCACTTTTAGAAATTGATTGGTTAAAGTTAACTACTCCCTGAACTTTCCATATTCAATCCTATTTATTTCCGGACAAGGGAATTCAGCAGCATATGTAGAAAGAAATAGCGCTTTTGGTAAGGATAGCACGTCAGGAACATGATGTCCTTGGTGCACAGGAAAAACACGTCTCCGGACGCTGATTCTACGCCAGACTCCAATCTATGGAGAGCAAGACCAGATGTGCATCACACATATCATGCAGTACGCCGGGCTGACCATGAACAAGCTGGTGAAAGTCGGCAAGGGCTTTCAGGTGGGTGGTAGCCAAAACAAATTCCCGAGATAGAGTTCGCATGTTACGAGCACCAGGAGCTAATTTATACTTTGGTCTCAAGTTATGCGACAGCGATTTTGAGCACTGCGGCTGGTGCAGACATGCAAGTAACGGGGCAAGTAGGATCGATACCGAATTGGTCTCGATCCTACTTGCCCCGTTGAATTATCAAAGCATAAAAAAAAACCTTGGTTGCCTCGACCGCTGGTATCCGCGGCAGCCAATCAACAGTCGACAAGGAAGGATTCACCATTATCCAAAATAAAAGGAAAGTCAGGCCCGCCACGGGCACAAACACTGGTAGAAGGCTGACGTCTGTACCTCCCCCTCCGTGAAGTAGGGCGCTCTTCGTATCTTGGCCTAATGCTACAACGACTGTTTACGATATCATAGAAATGCTCAGCACCGTCGTTATAACATATGTGCGTACCAAACTTCCGTTTAGACATGAGATCTAAGCATCGTTCCACATCGCTCTTGAGTGGGACGATTTCGACAAGATTAATCACGCGTGTGGCTTACGGCTTTCTCTTTAGGCCGTTTTTTGGGTTGCTGAGGAGAAAAGAAGAGGATGCATGACGAGCGTACAGATTATTTTCAAGACGTGCGTGAACTAAAGAACTAAAGAAGACGAGTTTTTTTTTGGCCATTTCAAGCACGTGTGCGATAATATGCCTAACCGAAACTTGCCTAATCAATTGATTTTCTAGATCGAATTACTTTCCGCCCACATACGAGGCTTTTAGACGAAATCGAGATTGTGAAGAAAACGGAAAGAGCTTGGGTATTGATTGCTGCAGATAGGAGTCTGAAAGTTCATAGGACGAGTGATCTTGAGTGTTATCTTGAGAGTTTGTGGATTGCAGTTATGTCTACCGACACTCGCAATTTTCTTATCTGTGATTACCACTTTCCGTCTATGTTTGATCCCATTGTCTTCTGTGAACATATTACCTTCCTGGAAAAATTTTCGTCTCAAAAGTTCGAGTGCACATGTACGGCTATTTCAACCTTCCTGGGTACGATTGGGAGTCGGGTAGCTTCTTTCTTGGTAACACGAACGCAAGAATGAAGCTACTTTGTACGTTAGACTTTGTATATTTCGATGGTTTTAAACAACGTAATAATTTCCGCAATTGCTGTGGAAACATACTTGACCTCGCTCCGGTCACCTCTGTTGTTGATATTAGCCTCACCAAAGTACAACAATGCCGGGTGGACAAACGTCATCCACCGTTTATTGTACAATTTTTCTTCCCACTTGACAAGCGTATTTTTCATTCACGATCATGGTTTTACTACTCAAACGGTGAATGCCATTCCTTATATCAGTATCTTCGGGACTATGACCGGAGCAGTGTCTTAGATGATCAGTGTTGAGTCAACAGTTTGCACACTTTCTGCTATTGTTCAGGAAATCATGAAATTGTTCATACTGAAGATTTCTTCTAAAAATGACTATCCCCCATTGTTTTTGAAGGAACCAATACATTGCTTAAGGCGCAAACTACATTATTATCGTCTCTCAAGAGGAAGTGGACATGCCGATTAATACACGTGATTTTGTCAATATCGTGCACTGCAGAAACGATTGAGTCAGCAAAATAAGCAACATCACGCTGACAGTTGCGGAAAACTCATTGAGCACGCAGCCGCAGTGTATGGGGAAGTTTGTCAAAGAAAGCATTAAAGAGAATGTCACCACGATCACGTTGCGAGATAACGAGGATTACGTCACTGGTCAGTAGATGTATTCCCTCTTTCTCGCGTTTTGGAACGTGGGGGCACCAGTTTGCAAATAGCCCCCAACCAGTTCCGGTTCTGAACTGGACGGCTGGTTTCGCAGTCTTTGTAAAATCAAATATACACGATCTTCTGGATATGGATATGGATATAAATATGGATACGTCAGACTTAACTTGCTCTTCTGATGAAATAATTATGAGTAAAAAATTGGGCTGCCCGATAGATGACGCCACTGAGTCTGCTGCTAAACAAAAAAAAGGTGAATAGCTAATATTTTTAAAGTCATTTTAGTGTCTGCTCTAGTACGATTGATGTCATATCGCCAAGTTCGAATATAAACTAAATGAATTTTCTTACCGTTGCTCAAATTAGTACACATGAAGTTTGGAAGACTATTAAAAATTGAAACTAAAGTTATCTACGGGAGCTGATGGCATTCCAAGTTTGATTGTAAAAGGCTCTCCAGTTTTAGTTCATATATTCAACTTATCAGTTGAATCTGAGACATTTCATGTCGCTTGAAAAATCACTGTTGCCGTTCCATCGCAAAAATCTAGTGATCAATCCATGGTTAACAACTATCGGCCTTTCTCCCTCCTCTGTAATTTGTCGAAAGTATATAAAATTGTTCTTCACATCCGCCTTTATGCATATTTCTTACGGAACATTATTCCCGAACAACATGATGTCATGAAAGGACGTTCAGCAGAAACAAACTCATATTCTCTCCCGAGTGAAATAGTACCATCTGTACACAGCGGACAAAAAGCGGATGTAGTGTACTTTGATATGACCAAAGCTTTATATATATGAAACCTTCAACTACTGTTGAGTAAACTCTCTAGTTACAATCCGTTTACTAAATACTGTCGTTTGTTTGATACCTATCTGTCTCATTGAGTAAACTTTGTCCAAGTATCCGGTCACTTATATGCTCTTTCTTTATCTACTTCTGGTGCTTTCCAATGCAGTATCCTCGGTCTTTTACTGCTCGTGAATGTTGTGAATAATCTCGCGTTTCGTATTAAGCACACGCAGCTAGTTGCTGGTATCATTTGATGAAATTAAGTTGTTTACGATAGTTAAAGTCGTTGAATATTGTTAATGTTTTCAGCGTGATATAGATTCTATTTCGACGTGGTGTCTTTCAAATTACCTTTTCTTAAATAAGTCAAAGACGGAAGTTATGTCTTTTTTTAGAAAGCGTGAAATTCTTAATTTTCCATATACATTAGATTCCACCGATATTCTTCGTGTAGAGGTCGTTCGTGATCTGGGAGGTTTTGTGGCTATTGCGACTAATTTAAATCATCACGTAACTACAATTAAGAATGCTTCTTTTAGAGTTCTGAGGGCATTAACGTGTATAACACGCAGTTTTTCTAAACATTTAATTGTTATCTTTGTTTCTTTAATGGTGCGTAGTTGTGTAGAATATGCCTCAACTATATGAAGCTATATTGGAGCCACTAATTTAAGTGTAATTGAGCGTGTTCAACGTAAATTCACTCGGGTATTGTTGAATCGTTATTTTCAACCAAATTATTTCTACAGTTACGAAGTGATTTGTTAACTCGTGAAATTGGACACGTTGCACAACAGGAGAACGATCTGTGAGTTGATGTTTCTGTATAAGATCGTAAATGGTACAACTGATTCACCAGCGCTCCTAAGTCACGTCTTTTTGCGCGTTTCTCGCAAGTCTTGTAGACTTTGTTCTTCATTTTATCTTTCTAATTTATAGCACTCAGGACCAGAGTGGTAAACCGAAATTTTATTTGTTCGGTTCGGGTTCATGTTCACGGCTTTCGGTTCAGCTCCGGCTCAGTTCCAGGGAGCAAAAATAACGGTTCGAACCGCTAAACTGAGAATATATTTTCCGTCCTGTTTTGACAAAAGCTGTATTTCAACCTTGAAACAAGTAATTATATAACTTTTTTTATCATTCGTACAATCCACTTTCATTTTCAGGTACCGAACATTTAAAAAAAAATCACAATATTTCTTTTCGACACGACTGTAAAAGAAAAGCTTGATCGATAAACTAACGTGTCTGCACGACTCAACATCGATTTGTTTACTTTATTCGCAGTCGCATATATAAGGTGTTTCTTTTTAAGCTTAACAGATTTGTCTAAACAAAAACGTGAAAGCTCTGGTTCTAGTTAAAAACTTACTGAAAGCCATCAAACCACTCGATCACTCAGTATTAGAAAGACTTGGAGTACGTGGGAAGCACGGTGAAGCGCTAAAGTTACCACCCGTCCAGAAGGAGCGAGGCCGCAGTAGCGATAACGCACCCCCGCTGTTTTTGTGGTAACTTTAGAGCACTACGCGCCTCCCACGCAAACAAATATTGTTTCTAAAATTACTTTTTAGTGGTTTTAAAGAAGCTTAGCAAGTTTTTAATTGAAACCATTTGTCTATTTTCGCTAATAAAAAATAATTAACAAATCTTAGTTAATTATTTGACTTATCGCGAAGATTAGCCCCCTATATTATCTCCTTCTTGCCGTATAACTGACCTGCACAAACTGCATTAGTGTGGCTTTCACGTATTTTTTTAAAGAAATCTGTTAAGCCTAAATAGAAACACCGTGTATTTTTCGTGGATTGAAAGGTTGTCAGCCTGGCAGGTCGGCTAAAATACCTGTGTTTGGTACAACTTGGCGACGCAGTAATAGAGGCTGAATCCTAATTGTGCTCTTAAACTTCCCTCACAAAACATTTTTTCAAGCAGTCTATATATATCTTATACACATTTAACGACTCTTTCAACTTCCTCTCCAGTCACGTCGTATCGAGAATTATCGATAGGCTTTCTATAGACTTTCTCTCAACCGAAGTCTATAAAGACGGTACAAATGCTATAAAATTTCTATCACCACGTCTCAATAGATTTTTTATCGCCACCGTCCTTTAAAATTTATGTGTACTGCAATCGATAGAAGAATAAGATGCACTGCGGAGAAGCGACATCACACCCAATTGGAGTATCCTAATGGAGGCTTCTTTTTTCGTCTGTGTCAAATAATGATCGCCACTTGCATAGTGTTGAAGACAGCTTTATAGATGCAGTTCACTGACCCCTACAAATCACACTTCGTACAAATCATGTGCACAAAAAAAGCAACATACTTGTAATCTTTTTTTAATCTTCTGGTTTTGTCCTCGTTCAAGTGAATGTCTTTCAAGTGTACGATACATATAGCTGTGGAGCACTCAACACTTCT